CGGAGTGTACGAATTCTGTTAGTGAAATAGATTCCAATCTGAGGATATTTTGTTAGGTACGGTGGATGAGGGCATGAGAAGAATTCTAAGAATTCATCGGTCTTGTTTAACAAAATCTGCCTACAAGAAAATCTGTCACCAAAGTACACCAACATACTACGATCTACGTATGTATCACATTACGAAAACAAAACTACTATTTCTATTTCTTTAGTTAACATTAGTGTTATCGTTATGGTCATCTTTATAGATTGACTATTTTATACAGCATACTTTATTAATATAAATCTACTAGTTGATGTTACACAAGTAGTTATCCTGGTTGTTCAATGGTAAAAGAATGCCACTGCCTGAGGGTTAGATAACTATTACGTAATATACAAATTATGCTGACACCTGAGGGCTACGGAATTGTTACGTAATAGAGACACCTGAGAGCTACATAACTATTCTGTAGTATGCAAATTATGCCAACACCTAAATGTTAGGTACCTATTATGTAATAGGCACTAGAGGGCGCGACTATCTTAGGGGAGGGATAACGTCATATTCCACGAAGTAGCACCAGAGAGGTCATAGTTGTCATAGTTCGATACCAGAGGGTCTGTTACCATAGATGGATGGTGTTAATATAGGCGGACAAATGTTACTAAGGTTCTATAGGCGAATTGTGTTACTATATGGGTGGTAATACTAGGAATATTGTGTATGTTTTACAAAGGCGGTTGGTGTTTCTATAGGCGGATAGTGTTAAGATAGTCCTGTAGGACTGCGTACAGATTTCAAGTTTTTCAACTTATGTTTATTGTTTTAATTTATACATTTAATTGTATTACATGTGTTTATATGTTAAAGATTTATTTTCTTTTTCACCTGTGATGTTGCGGCCTAATGCATTCCTTCATTGGTTGTACCCTCCTCTGAACACAGCTTGGGTAAGCAAATTAAAGAAATACCCTTAGGACTCTAATAATGGTGAAGCGTATACAATATCTATGGGGTTTGAAGTCCATTTTGCTTCACCATATATTAACCTAAATTAATTTAGCCATGTGAGTAATGTTATGACATTTTGTCAAATTCATTAATCAATAGTATACAGTGGACCAAGTGTTTAATTATTGTATATATACATTTCATAAATCCAACATATTTACTGTTTGTCATTACAACAACAATGTAAAATCACAGACTTGACAAGTATACTGAAACACTTATTTACAAAACTTCAAGATACAATAATATACTACAAACATCTTAACTTATAAAATACTGAATTAGTTTTCATACAACTTTTGTACATTATGTTCATTTTACTATTTCAGTTAGAGTTTCTATTTTTCGTTTGTGTATCATTATGGGAAAACAAACATTGAAATTATCACTATACATTGTGGTAAATAAATAAATGAATAAAGGATTCAAAGATGCACATTATAGTCAAACATACCTATTCTGTGACACCAGCAGTATTATTTGTTCACATGGCATGTTAAATGCATGTGAAATTTCAATTTCTGTGCCAAAAATACTAATTTATCGACTATTTTACATTTCGAAACACATATTTTCCTCACATATATTTTGAACCAACATTTCGGTAACATGAATTATCTTTTCATTTAAAAATTGTACAAATCGTCAGTTAAAAATCAGTGTTCAGACTAAAGATCAAATTTCAGATAATCACATTTCTAGCTAAATATTTTAAAACCATGAAGTCAAACTGTACTACATTACAAATAGTTTATGTGATATAATACTTATGTAGAATTTAAACATTTTACTTACAAAACTACATGTTAATCATCCTGTCTATGTAAATTATCTTAATGCATATAACATATGTGTAGAGATCGAAAATGTTAGATTAAAAAGAAAAATCAGTCGTTTTCAGAACTATGTAAGATCAACTAGTAAATTATTATAGATAAAGTTTGCTGTATTAAATAGTCAATCTGTGATATATGGGATATGAATTCTAAGAAATCAAGTTTTGTTTATTGAAATGAAACTGTAAAGTTGACCATAATGATAAAACTAATGTTAAGAGATAGAAATACTAGTTTTTGTTTTCGTAATGTGATGCGTATGATATATATCTAGAATTCGAATGCTTTATGCAAAACAGGCCTACACGTAATTTATATTATATAATTGTCCATGAAATATGCTAGACAAATAGATGAACTGTAAAACATAAAATACCAGTTTTGCATATTCAAACAGTTTTCTTATTATTGAAGTGAAAGCACAAAGTTGATGCTAACGATAATGCAGTGTTAAGACCTATAGCAATTTAACACGACACAGGTTGACATTGAACAACACTCTCTGGTAGTAACTATCTGCCCACGGTTCGTAAAGGGTCTCATCTTCTTACTCTTTGGTCACCTACCAATACGCCCTCGAGTAACAGCGCCTTCTAGTGCCACTTTGACGAACTATAACGTTACGTAAATTCCCTGGTCTCAAACTTATGATCTGCCTTTTCTCGTATTAGACAGCAAATTGGCGCTCATGGCGTTACATCACGTAATCCAATCAGCGTGAGGTTGTGTCCTTTAGGCCGCACCAGTTTACTACTACTTACACAGGACAACTTCTTTAAAATAGTACTTTTAGGAGAATGCTACTAAACGATACCTGTATTAGTGGATTACCAGTTTTTAAAAGGTATATGAAAGTAAACTTTTATGCATGACTCACTCATTATTCATTCTAGATGTTTAATTTATACAAGTTTTAACAGGTCAGGAGAATATTTTACACAAAAAATATTTGAATAAGTTTATTAGAAAACAACTGACATACCGGCACACTTAGATCTCCCTCTACAAATCCTATATGTTGGCGTTGGACTACATTTCAGTTCTTTCGATATATTACAGTAGCGGTCTATATTTTGAGGCTTGGTTGAAGAAGATAGATAATAGGAAGTATTTTCCACAGCTACATCTGTAAAGTTATCAGTCATTTGTTCCATAGTAGACAATTTCACTATGTCTTGATGTTGATGGAGGTTGTAAAATTGTTTCTTTTTAACAAAACGTATAGTAAATTCTTCTTGGGGATTTAAAAATGGAGCCGTATGATGGGATTGTATATTGAAAGAAGGGTCTGTTTTCTTTGGGTTTTCTGATGCTATCCCCGAAGTTACCTTATCTGAGCCAGGGATTAAGACATCTGGAAAATCGGTGATAGAACCTCCAGGTTCAGATGGGAGCAAGTTACCTGAAATAATATTTGCCTCTCCTATATTTCAAGGTTATTAGTGGTACAGACGTTTTCATCATCTAATGACATCTTTTACTATCTCAAAAATAAATAAAGATCTATGTCTTGCATAGTTTACTGGTATATGTTAATTACATTAAAAAGAAAGTTGTTGTTTTTGTTTGTTTCTAAGCACAAAACTTCACAATGGGCTATCTGTGTTGTACATTAAAACAGAGTAAAGATACTGCGATATTTTAATAATTTTGGAAAGCATTTTCAAATTAACAAATATTTTTTCTTATTTTAAATTGATATAGTCACCATATTTCTGCAAAACATTTACAAAATAATTTCACATTTCTCTTTTCAAAATTTTAAAGCTCCCTACATGTTACCTAGGTCCATCTCCCCAAATGTACAGTCGATGTCACCTTCACCGAAACATACTATCTGTTCTCTACATTCTAGACCTTCTTCTAAAGTGCACCGAAGTTCTGTGAAAACGCAAAAATATTTATGTTTTCAACCTTAAGTAACTATCCAAGTACAAAAAGTGCTCGAGAAAATACTATTAAACTTTATTAAGCCTGTAAAATATTATGACCGCATAAGGTGAAAACCTACAAAAATTACTCATACATTTTTAAGGTAAGTCAAATTAGCTCAAATTCTTTGCAGGAACCTGGCTTATGCATGATTAAAGAATATTGAGAAGATATTTTCACTGCTAGGAAACAAGGCAAAAAAGAGGTTATGCTGTTAAGCAAGTTAAACAATCACACATTTTAATTAGAGGGCGTGTAAAGGATAAACATTCGAAGTAATATATATATATATATTGAAAAACCTTATTACTTCCTTTAGGATAATAACACACATTTTTACAAAAATAACGAAACATGGTTATTGTGTTTTGACACTTGTGTGTAAAGTTAAAATCATAAATAATATT